GGTGAGCTTGAGATAAAAGATACCACATAATCTGACACATCTGTTTCATACTTGGATATTTTACTTGAAAAAGACGTTAATAGTAATCTAATATCCAAGCCACAGACACTTGTTTCGGTAATATTAAATTTTTGACCCATAGTACGTATAATAATATCACAAAATATCTAACTCCGAATTACACGGAGCACCCCATGCCGCAGAAACGCACTCATTTACACTTTCAGACGAAATGCACTGGAAAATGGTTATTACCATTGTCTTCTACGGTAATTTATCTACACAATCAACATTCAACATATATGTTGAAATGTACAAATGTACCTTGTGTTATTATTATACTATGGGTAAAAATTTATTACCGAAACAAGTGCTTGTGATCCACGCTCTTTGTTAAATGTGATGACTTTAACTTTTCTATCGTCAACTTTTCTTAATTATGCAGCAATATACCTTTATCACCTACATACGGAGTTTATATATCTCAATTGTTTCGATAGGCAAGAATATGCTCTACGTATAAACAATTTCTAAAACGAGGTAAATTATTGACAAACAAGTTGTTGAAACAAGAATATCAACAGTCGCGTTTAAAGTCATCATTTCGTAAGTTCTGTGGTCGATACAATGACCTTGTCAGCATATACAATTTATCATTGATTCAAATGCTGACTGACGTTTTTCATACTATTTGTTAGTCCATTATTTATACACTGAATTGAGGACAGATTTCCCCGTTATTTCCCAATCAAAACAAGGAGCACACGGCGGGTGTGACCGGTCGGTAGGGGGTGCTCACTCCTCCATGGCACCTGATCCCACCTCTGATGTTTTAGAGGTCCGTGTTTGCTCTGCTCCTGCTTTGTATTGTTTTATTGTTTTATGGACTTCCGTGTTTGCTCTGCTCCTGCTTTGTATTGTTTTATTGTTTTATGGACTTCCGTGTTTGCTCTGCTCCTGCTTTGTATTGTTTTATTGTTTTATGGACTTCCGTGTTTGCTCTGCTCCTGCTTTGTATTGTTTTATGGACTTCGATGTTCGTTATCTCCATATCCTTCTTCTTAAATATTTCCCTTTTTTATAAAGATTTTTTTTATATCTTGAAAATTTATATCAAGGTCATATGTCGGTGACCTGGTCCCTTGTAGCAGTCAAGCTATTATATGTAGTGAGGTTTAAGTGAACTTTATCCCAATATCCTGGGGGTAGATTTTAAGTATCTTAAACTTTTTCTCGGTTATATATTCTCGCGCCACTCTCTCAGATATCTGATAACTCAAAAGATAGTATATTTGGAATAAGGCCATCACATTAAAATCGTCACTTATGCTATCGATTTATTTGGCTTGTCAAACTTTTCAATATTCTATTTTTTCCATTTGTATTCGATAATTTTCAGTTGTATTCTATAATTTTCCATTTGTATGTATAATTTTTATTTTTCTATTTGTATTGTATAATTTTTCAGTTGCATTCTATATTTTTCATTTGCTTTGTATACTTCCTTATTTGTATTGCAATATTTCTTATTTGTATTCGATAATTTTTCATTTGTATTAAATCTGTGGGATGTATATTTTCGTTACGCATGATTTCATTGGTCGACTCAAGTTTTAGTCTGTTTTGTTGATGTTGTATAATGACAAAAAAAAAACAAATAAGAAATTTTACAATACAAATTTAAAAAAAAAATGGAAAAATGGAAAATCATACAATACGAATGAAAACTTACAGAATATAAATACACATTACACAATATCGATGGGAAATTTTACAATGCAAATAGAAAATTATAGAATACAATGAAAAGTTACACAATACAATTTAAAATTATACAATATCAATGGGAAAGATCAAATATTGCGACGTTTGAAATGCCATAGAACTGTATTTCAAGTAATGCATGGGATTGGCAATTAATAAGGTGATCATTGTATATTACTGCATAAGTGAGGGATGTTGACAATTGAAAAGTTAAAATCATTACATTTATCATAAAACTTTGTAGTAGAATTACCATGAACATCTGTTTCTATATCTAAATGTAAAACAGATGTGTCCAACTCGGTGGTATCTTTTGTTTCAAGCTCACTGGGATATATAATGTCGACATAAGAATGGAAATAACCATTGTAAATTGACAATAGTCAAAATGTCGAGTTAAAGGCCACAGCAAGTGGTTTTTTTTTTTCTTTTTACTTAAATTTTGAAAAAATTCTGTTTCATGTGAATACAAAAATATGTCCTTTAAAATAAGGACCCAATTGGTACCCATGGGTACTTTCCTATAATCCCATAGATTGTAGGAAATCTTGGTCTCCAAAAACAACATAGATACTGTCAATCAGAATCTCAATCATCTTTTTATTATCAACTTCAGAGTACTTGTTTGTACAGTCAGATTGCTTTTAACAAAGTGATTTTACTAATGACAAATGAAAAGGTAAGAAAGTAAATTTACGAGTTTCATCGTTTAGAAGAAAAACCGAGTTCATTGTTGTCAAAAAGCCTCGACTTCATTTTTTTCGTGGCTAATGGTTGTATATAAAGTTGAAAAAAGTAAGGTTTTATGTTAATTGTTGATTATGGTAAAATCTTGTGATTTCAAATTTTCCAAAAAGTTCCTTGGAATTTTCAAATACATGTATCCACATCTGATTTATACTCGTACATGTACTACTTCTCAAATATAGTGTTACACTGTACTCTTGGAGTTTCTCCTCTACTTTTAATATTTTAGTGAGGTGTGAAGAAAGAGGCTTGGTAGAACATTTACTAGGACCCGCTATGTATCTTTGTTTGTAAGGATTTTTATGAAGTTTCGGAATCCAATATACATGTCGATATGGTCATTCAAATTCGTTTTTATAGTTGAGAATATATTGAAAATATTAAAAACTGACACATGATTTTGAAGCATGTCCTCCTTTGAAGGAACTATGGGTAGAAGTTGGAATTAAACCTCTGAATGTTTTAAAGGACTGTGTTGCTTCTGATTCTCTTTTGTATTGTTTAAATGGACGTTTGAGATTGAATGATTCCTTATCTCCATATACTTTAATATCAACATTTTACATTGTTTTAAATTTTGACTATTGTTGTAATCTGTTTCATGATCCGTGAGTGTAACATTCATCATTTATGTTTCTGTAGCACTAAAATTTTCCTTTTTATATCAGAAGAGTATCATTTTACAATATAAAACAGATATCTGACATCATTGAACAGTTGAGGTCAGTGTATCAAACATAGATTTTCAAAATGTTGACTTACAACATTGGTGATACCTGTGTATCATTCGTGTATCAAGTCTTATCTTTTGAAATACTTGAAAGAAAGAAATAAAGTTATAGAATGTTTGTCTTGAGTTGTTCGACATAGAGATTCATTCACCAAATGAATTGTCCTCAATGAAAATGCCATATACTGAATATTATAAGGTGTATTTTAAAAACAAAGATTTTTAAAACATCGTTTGATGATTGTTTAAAGAGAAAAATTATGTCAAAATAAATGTGTGTTATTTTTTACTCAATAATTTAAAAACATTCAATGCTGCACTAATACTGATATTTGGACTCTCAGCCTGGGAAAAAAGTTTTCACCAATGAAAGTACCAGTCATTCTAAAAATGATGTCATAAGCAATAAAAACGCATCATTGAAATTTTAGCAGTCCTACTGTCTTTGCCACTTGCCTATTTTTCATATGATCCTTAGACCGTGATAAGATAATGTATTTTTGAATGGGATATTTAATTCTGGTGTTTTTTGTTCGTAGTGCTTTAAATCCTTTAAAGTATATAAAAACTCAGACTGACAAAATGGTATTCATAACATAATTAACATCAATCCACCGTTACAACACATTTCCTAATTTTTTTTAAAAGTAGGTCGTCTTGGGGAAATTCCATTAGCATTAAAATTAGAAACTTATGTAACAAAATCTTTTAACATTAAACTTTTTTTTTGACTTTCCATACGAAAGATGTATATTTAGACATTTGGTATATCTGAAAAAGCATAATACTTAGAAATTGTAAATGAATATAACTATGTTTGTTCAAAAAGAAAAATATGGAAAACAAAATCGACTCACTAATTTTATTTTCTCAAGTTTCCAAAATTAAAATGAAATCTTAAATCTTCAGTCTTAGTGTTGCAATATCAATTATGACAAAATATTAATACATTAAATTTCTTTCAGTTTTCCTCTATAGTCATGGACTCATGTTTACAAAGGACTGCATTCTTATTATATCATAGATCAAATTCTTTTAAGAACAGACAATACACACTTTTATCAAATATCTTCCCGTCCATGACAAGGGGCACACAACGTTTTATTATATTTCATTCAAAGTAAAAAAAAAGTTTATAGATTAATAATGATGGTGCAGAAAGATAGAACTCTGAACATCATAGAAAGCTTTTAATTTTGTTATACTTAGAAATGTATAACTTACATCATTTACAATCGAAATAGGCCCAAATATATATCCACAGCTAGACATTCATTTTTTTGTATTATCGGTCCTTGAGGAATGGACGGTTTCCGATTAAATGTTAAAATGTTTTGTTAAATTAATATAGTGAAATATTCGACCAATCATTTTAATTCCAAACCAAGGCAAATGCATAGTTTACAAAAGCGAATGTTCAAAAAATGGGAAAAACTTGTTGACTTTTCTCCATTGAACAATTATTTTCACAATGTCTGATCTTCATTGAAACTATGCATACCTTATTTTTTAAAATTCTAATATGTAGTTTATTCCGTCGATATGATTTTGATAGCAATCTGAATTAAATATCAAAAACTTTGTTAGTGTGGGGAAAACGATATTTATATGGACTGCACGGATTTATTATAAATAACTGAAAACCAATCGGAGCGTCAGTTGCTTGTCCAATAAAAACCGGTTTCGACATAAAAAGAAGCCAATCAAACTTTTTGTTTTGAATTACGTGTCACATGACAGAACATTTATAATCAGAAGGCGCTTTAATTGAATTTCATTCCATCGACATTCTGAGTAAAAAGACGATATCAGGAAAGGTAAGTGCAGTGTTTACCCATGTACCTTTGTTATTTAGTCATTTTATAATCCACATATAAGTGTTTTTTTTGTATACGGAATAGAATACTAGTGCTCAATTCTTAACTGCGCACATACTAACTATTGATCTAAAAATGATAGAACTGAAATTTATTTAGGATTTTTTTTAAACATGTTAAAATAATCATTCACCTTTGATTTTTTGTACTTCTGTTGTGTCCGTGCCACATGCCCTTTTTAAATATGTATTATTAATAGATATCTGAGATCGATCACTCTTCTCTATTTTCACTTTTTATTCTTTGAACACCTATAAATATAAATCTATAGGAAAGACTGTAGTTAAATATGTATATATTCTTCAAACAGGCAATTGTGTTTCTTAGCGTAGATCCAAAGAATGAACAAAAGTTTAATTCATAAAATATATTGGTGAAATTTTGTCTTTTGTTACGTTATATGTATGCTCAGTTTGCTAGAAACACAGGATTCTGACATCATTTTCGGTGTTATTACTTCATTAAAATTACAGAATATCCTCTTAATATGTCTATATTTTCATGATCTTTTCAATGAGTAGAAACACTTATCAACATCTATTAATCGGTTAACGTTTTATCAAATACTTTTCTGAACCCCTGTATATATATAAAATAGTCATGAACAGTTCATAAAAAAAATACCGGATTCCAGCAGATTACCTCAATTTAACAAAAAATTTCCCCGCCTATTTCCAGTTTAAATAGTAATCGTTGATTGATTATATAGATTAAAATGGCTACAGGAAGTGTCAGGACGAGGTCAAGGAGATCACAGACTGTCAGAAGACAACGCAGAGTACAACGCCAAAGGGAGGTGAAGTTAATTTTATTGTACCTGCATTGCCAAAGAAATGTTGATTTGTGTAATCTTAGTTTTGAAAAATCCGGAGTAAACAGTGAAGTCTAATGATAGGAAAATAAACCACAATTCAGTAGTTTTTTAATTTGTTTAAATTGTTCATTAATATTTTTTGCTACTTGCAGACTGTTAGGGGTGTGATAATCACTATACAGAGAACTTTACGCATTGCAGCTAGAGCTCGACGTTCCCGGAGGTTGTTGCATTTGTGACTTTTATTTTTAGAATAAATATATAATTGTTTTAATTTTTAAAAAAAATTATAGGATTTCTTCATTGTTCAAATATATGACTTTCTTTGTTCGAAAAAAAAATTCTGTATGAATTTTTAAACGTATGTATTTTTCCACTTATTAGCCAAAGGATCAAGTAAACTTTTTAGTTCAAAAGTTTTACAAGCGAATACATTGTAAAATGAAGATTTCTAAATGATTACTTAGGGGAAAAAATCTCGAAATAGCGAACCAATCATCAGTGATATTTATATTGAAGCAGCGCCAGGAAGTATAGATTCAAGTAGCAATAGAATGTAAAACTTATAGCATAAATTCATCAAAAGCCATTAAAATCAAAGAAATATCGAAGCATCCCCAGTAAGTGTATATTTAAGTTTGTTCAATTCATACCCCCCCCCCCCCTTCATACGTTAGGACGACTTATATATTATATATACTAACCAATACTGAAATGTTTTTGCTTCACCGAGCCAACGTGCTAATTAAGGTGAGCGAAATGGCTAATGGACCTCATGTTAATTTTTAGCACTCATTCTGAATAACGTTTTACAAGTAAAAAATTAATATATATTGCTGATTCACGATACCGTTGTGTGTAAAAAAGGGAAAAAAAAATCTATGCTCAAGCTAATTAAAAAATACAATTTTTGCAACAAGCTGACTATTTACATTTTTTTTCCTTGTAGGTCTGTACTTCGCAGATGATAATCCTTCCTATACATTTTTGTATATCAGCACAAAAAGATGTCAAAATTTAAAGTGAAATAAAGGAAAACTTTTCGCTAAATGTTACCTTGTTTCTTGCATTATATGTAAAAGCAGAAAAACACCAAAGCAATATGTACAACGTTAGTGCTTTCATTTTAAATTCTTCAGACGTTTTACTTTAAATATTTGACGTTAAAAAGTTACGTTGTCGTTTTTTCTCTTTTTTAAATATATTTCCAACCAGTGCTATAAATATATAATTTGTTATACATTTTGGATATAAATATATATGCAAGGGGCAAACAGCGAGTGTGATGGGGCATTTTGGCACGATAACAGGAATTGTTCTTTACTGTCATTCTTTATAAAAGATACCACATAGTCTGACACATCTGTTTCATGTTTGATATTTTATTGAAAAACATATAAATGGTAATCTAACAATCAAGCTCTATGACAAACGTGATGACTTTAACTTTACAATCGTAAACTTACCTTACTTATGCCACAATATACATTCATCACCTGCATATAGGCCTTTCAACTAATTTTTCAAGTTGCACATAATTATGTTAAAAAACATTTCAGAGATCGATTTATAGGTACATGAAATTATCAAAAAAGATAACAAGAAAAGATTGATATAACCATCAATTGTCGCCCGGGAAATAAAGTAAACAATGGAAATGAGTCTTGACCATCAAACCGCTTCAATATGTGTGAAAAAGACATGCGTCTAAATGATGGAGACGATAGTCGAGAATATTTTGAAAACTTGTAGTCGGATGAAAATCGAACAAAAACGGTACCATTTAAAACTTAATCAATTCCTTAAGTAAATGTTGGCTGCATGAAATAAAAATTGAAACTAGACTCATGCATCATCTATTTTCAAAAATGTATTTCACTTTAAGAATATAAAGCACTGTGTACAGTACGTTTTTATGCGATTAGTAAAATTCGATGTTCTAAAAAAAGGGACCTGTCATTTTTTCGATATTAAATGAGAAGCAACTTTATACATTGAGGATGACGTTTACTCAGGTTTCAGAAATCAGAGAGGAAATTTTATAAAGTATAATATATTGAATCAAAAATTGTTCTAAATGGATGAAATAACTAAGTTTTATCTCAATATCAATTAAAAAATTTAATATGTAAGAACTTGAAGAAAATATACAGGAACAAAACTCAATGTATTGCTATGCAGAAAAAATTCGGACTAAATTTGTAATTTTTCATTTTTTTTCAAAAATTTTTATTTCTTGCAATATTAATCACAAAGTAAAGGTTACATGTATTTTAAGACATCATTTTTCAAATTTTATTTGTGTTTAAGCTCATAAATTATTTCAAATAAAAGAATGCTATGAAATAAAGAAATTCAAAAACATGTACAAAAACCACTGTAGTCAACATATCTCAATAATTTGATCTTTGACCCAATATTACGGAAGCCCGATAGTGCAAACCAAAAATAAATAAAGAAAAACGAAATTATTAAATAAAGAGAAACGAAATTAATATATATAAAGAAAAACGAAATTAATATATAAAGAAAAACGAAATTATTAAAAAAAGAAAATCGAAATTATTTATTCAATAACTTCGTTTTTCTTCATTTAATAATTTTCTTTTCCTTTATATATTAATTTCGTTTTTCTTTTTTTAATAATTTCGTTTCCGTTTATTTAATAATTTCGTTTTCTTTCTATATTAATTTTGTTTCTCTTTATATATTAATTTCGTTTTTCTTTATTTATTTTTGGTTTGCACTATTGGGCTTCCGTACAATATAATATTAATACCATGAGAATGAGGGTAACAAAAGTAGCCAGAGACTATAAATAATTAAGAGTTCTTATCAGTCAGATGTTTGCAATATATGATTAAAAATAGGGAAAAAATATAAATATGACAGAGGAAATTCGGACTGTAATAATTATCACATTTATGGCCCAAACTCTACTCATTTCTTTATATAGAGCAACTCTTTACCATTGCTATAATATTTTATTATTTAAAGAGTTTTGTTGCTTGTAATATTTTGTTAGTGAAGAAAAAAATGGTCATAGTGTGAAAAATTGAGGTATTTCCCGAGAAATATTCAGGGGCCCCTAGCATAAAAACGAGGTCATTGACCTAGTTATTTGAAATTGAAATTTAACACAAGAATCATAGGTGTACAATGTGCAATAGGTGGTTTTTCGTTCTTATCAGTGGAATTTTTAGTCATCTGAGTAAAGGTATACCTTAAATATCAAAAACATTTATATTTTTACAAATTCACTTTATGAAAGTAAATATATAATGTATCTCGTAATTTACAACGAGAAAGAACATTCTGATTGACAATCTTTTTAATGTTTAGAAAACCTTTAATTTTGAATAACCTCTCCCACCTCAATCCCCATACACCAACACTTAAACTTATATGTATAGAGCAGCCCGGTCCTCCGGGCTGCAATAACTTATGCACGCCTTTAATTAAATCATTATAAATTTTAATTATTTGTAAGTGACTACTTCGATGTCGTGTTTTAAGGACAGGAAACTCAGGTGTGAAAACTGACCTACTAAGTGCCGATTTATGAGTTATCGTTTATAGGAAGGACATATAGGCTGCTTCAGCATTGGTATTGATATGTACACAAAAGGGTAACCGTTTCTTTACATTGTTTTGTACACAAAAGAAGGAGAATGTCTTCACTCTACCTGAAATAACTGGGTCAAATGAATGGGGTCAGACTATATTCAACATTTTTAACTCTCTTTGACGATTGTTATGAAGAAGAAAATATAATGTCATGTTTTTTTGTTTTCGCGCTTTTGCGCTTCCTATATGAACATATATATTTTTACGAGTAAATGCAGTAATTAATTATCTTACTTGTGTTACTAGGCACGAAGAAGAAAGACTGAGCACAAAAATTGAATTAGGTTAAAACTACGAAAGAGGGTAGACTTCACTTTTTATTTTAATTAAAAAATTTACTTATATGTAATTTAACGGTGTCTGCAACTATACAGTAAATAAGTTTAACATTAGTGCTAAATTTTAAAACCACTGGATTCTACTGACAGCAGAGAAACACTCAAGGGAAATGCTAGAAACTGACCTGTCTATAAACAGTTCGATACATAGGACCTGCTCTAAATAAGATTCAGCAACGAGTTATCGTTCATAACAGCGAACCCTAGCGGCAGTTGCATACGGAGTTTATATATCTGGCAGTCCAATATCATCTCAAGCAGTCTGAATCATCCTTAAAGAGGTACACTTATGTGCGAAACACCCAAGGATGAAGTCCAAAAGGCATCATGTGATGCCAAATTCCCGAATCTGAATACCATTGAACACATTTGACATTTTAAAAGGAATGAAAAAGTTCTCCTCCCCCTCTCCACACAATGTCAACGGTTTAGAAAGATCCATACAGTAGGTGTGATAACAGAAAGTTCAACCTCCTATTCAGGAGTACATGGTATCCACGAGAAAAGGATTTCTTGCAGTAATTAGAGTGAGTGATGGTCTTACATGTACTCCACAGAGATTTCTTTATGTGAATTTTCATTTTGAGGGTACATGTCCTTGACACTTTGCTTCAAAATCTGACGAGATACATGAAATTTACACACCATCGAACTGAAATATGCATCATTAACCATGAATTAAAGAAATAATTTATTGTATGCATTTGTTCTTTATAAGTTAAAAAAATGATAGGTGAACACTTAGAAGTTTGGTTCACTGTATTGTGAAAGTACTTGGAAAATTGCCCAATTTTAGTTTCATAAAAACACTACATGTATTTCAGTAATATCTTATAAGTAACATCAAATACTCTAAAAAAATTTTTTCGGATTGATTGTATGAAGCTTTGCGTCCCGAGCGAAAATTTTCCTTTACTCGGCACAAGGAGCCATTGAGCAGTAGGACATTTTTTTTATCGTGCAAATGCTTACTGCAACACATGTACCTCGGTTTGAAAGGTCTCATCCGAAAGTCCTGCAACTTTCTCTTCAAAGTGCACTTGACGAAGGAACAGTTGCTACCTACTTTTATCGACTTAGGTCTCTCTCAGCCGTGATTCGATTACATAATCTTCCGATCACACAGCCACTGCTCTACTGACTGAGCTACCATGAAGTTTTTACTGATTAATATATAAGACATATTTCAAACATTCTGCTGAAATTCAGTAAAATGTCATAACCTTCAAATAATTTTCTTGATTGCTAAATTTTGAATGCCAGAAAAATGACATTTTTGAGTGCGGATGGGTAAAAAAAATGATTATGCGAATTAAATTAAAACGTTTTTATAGTCATAAATTTTAAATAAATATGGCTATTCAAGATGAAAGGGAAAAAAAATTGTTCCCATAATTATTTGGATAAAAAATATTACAGGAAAAAATCTTTCATTGATTTTTGTATTTAACTTAATTACGACGTACAAAAAGGTCATGTTAAATGCACCGTAACACCAAAAGAAGCAAATTGTCATCAATTTTTTTAATTTGATTTTTAATTGAGATTTGTATGTAGGTTCTAAAATTATATTTTATAAAAAAAAAATCATTCCTTTTTTAACCGGATCAAACCTCCTTAAAAATAAATTAAAATATATACTGTATGCGAAATGTAAAAAAAACAATATACATTCAAATTTGTATTAATCACTATCTTTAAATAAAACCATTTTAATTATTAATATACAATAGGTGACATTTTGCTTCAGATATTTATCAGAATAATATTATTTAGGTCCCTTTAAACAGTGTTAATTTGCAATTTTAAGAACATGAACATTATTCCTCATATTCGAGCCAGAAAAGATGCTGAATTTATAGGCATGTAGCATACATGCTATATATCTACTACATATTGATTCAAGTAACCTAAAAGTTCAATTTATTATCATCAAGGTATTGCTAGACAATTTTTTTTTTTCAAAAGAGGGTATAGACATATCGTTCAGAATCTTCTACACACAATACGAGGCATATTGAATTGTGTTAAAAAATGAATTGTGTCAACTAAGGTCTGGTCGTATTTAGGTTGCCAAAAAACTTTCTAATTCTTGTTCTGATGAAATTGATAAAAATAAATAACATTTTTCGCAAACAAGACTTAAAATAGTTGGGTATTCTGTGGGGAAAACCATATTTAAATTTAGATATTTATAGTACACAAAACATTATCGGGTATAAATTATTTTTTAAAATGTTTTAAGATATATATGAGGTTGATTACTGTTCGATTTATTCATATTTCATTGTTTCTGTGTGTCAAAAGGGAATTCAAATTTCGATTTTGGCAATTAATAAAAACAATCGAATGTTTCTTCTCTTTTTAATACAGTAGAGGAAAAACATCATGGCAGTGCATGGCCTTTTTATATGACGGGTCGAGGACAAAAGGGACGCCATCTTATCCTATATTTGATGACTCAAGGCATCTCATTTTGTGTCAATTTTTCGGTTCATAATTTTTTATTACTCTTAATTTTTCATTTTAACACAAGCTGAAAGTAATTATATACACAAATTGCAATGAAGACCAATGCAATGTCATATTGCATTTATTCCATATTTATGATAAAAGTATATTTATTTCATGTTGTAAATTTTGAATTTTCTAGGGGTGAAAAATGCTTAATTTACATGTTATAACTTACCATATAGTTAATTTTGCATTATCTCCCATTAGAACATTCAAAACTTATAACATGATACTTATTTTGAATAATAGATGTTCCAGCGGTATAAAATCACTCAATATTAAAGAATGCACTTTCTTTGACATGTTTAAAGAAGTAGGACGTTTATCCTGGATGAAATTCATTTCGGGCATCTTTCAAAGTTAAAATATAAAGCTTAAATGTTTGTATCGTCATCATATTGGCCATACCGAATTTAAAGGTCAAATGTAGGCACATATTTTTAAAACCATTTAAACAGCAAAATTCTTAGAGTTACACTGCTAAAAATGCAGTTACCGGGTCATTTAAGAAAGATGCATGACCTTTTTTTTTTTCAAAATGTTTTTTTTTTTTTTTTTGTTAAAAATAGCAACAAGTCATTGAAAAAACTTTTCATTGCGTGGATCTAAAGATAGTATCGTCATTTTTTTTCTGTTTCTTTAAAATATCATTACGTTGTGCTTCAGAAGAACAGAGGGCTCTGAAATTAACCAGAATATAACTAGCAGACGTGAAAGTGTAAGTTTTTGAACAATTTTTTTAAAATTTGATATCATATTTAAATGTAAAAACTTTAAAGACTGCAATGTAGCCCAAATATTTAAAGCGAATTTTCCAAAACAAAATGATTTTTTTATTTATTTAATTCTTCCGTAAATCTTTTAAAAATTACTTTTTTCTGAAGGAATGAATTTACGTTTTTTAAACCTAGAGGTTTTTTTTTTGTTTTTTGTTTTTTTTTCTAGGGGGAGGAAAATGCTTAAATTATTATAACATATCACTTATGTATACTTTTGTGTTATTTAAAAAATAATTTTACAAATGACCAATAACAAGGTAATCATATTTACGTGTTCCATTTTTAATGAAAAAGTAGCTGTCAATGATATCAAAAAGCTCAACGATATCAAAAGCCTGAACTTTTACCTATCATGGGGAATGTTTATTTTTATCAAGTTGAAAAGTCATAAGTTTTTAAGCTGTTGATTTTGGGAAAATCTTAAATGATTTCAAATTGTCAAATTTTTAAGTTAATTAAATGATTTACACCACTTTTTGAATATATTGTTGCACAGTATTCAACGATGTAAATTTGATATTTTCATAAAAATGCGATGAAAATTTTATTTCATTGTGTCAATTGCGGAAAAATTATCCATATGACATAAAGATATCGTGACAGAAATGCAGTTTTAGACGTACAACTGCTTGGTTAGATAACATCGTTACAAACATACAGTTTAGCCACATTTCAAATTTTAATATAGAAACTGATCATTTCAAAAAACGTGTGTGTAAGCTTTATAAAAAGAAACAAGGAATTGCCTTTTAATACAACTTTCTCAGTCCATATATTATCATTATAAAATTATGAGCTTATAGCAGTACTAAAAATAGCATTCATATATTACGTTAAAGTAAAACTTTGTTTAAACAATGGGATTTTTAAAAGAGGTATCACATCAATGTTTTACTTGAATGAAATCTTCTATATACATTGTATTGGCCTTGTTTAAGCGAAGGGTCTAACAAAAAGAAATAAATGGCATCAATATTATTTATATAAATCTTACTATACTGTCCTTGATTGATATATATATATTATTACTTCAAATATGCTTGATTTTAGGAAAGTTTCAGGAAGTTAAAACTTATCCAAATTTGTTATTTTTAATTTTGTTATAAATAAAGGTACATGTGTCTATTTTAAGAGAGAAAATGGGTAAAGCCAAAAAGAGAGTATCACGTGCACAAAATCGCACAAGAAAGGTCAAGGTAAGACGTAAATTAAAGAATAAGCCATACTATGTAAAAAGAAGTATGAAATCAATTTATTATAAAATATTAGGAAAGAATTGCAAAGTTTAACATTATTGGTATTTAGTGTTTTTTCATGCAAACTATAAGAGTAAGGATTAAACGAAATAAAAGCAATAAATATTGTATACAACATGCATAGATTGAATATATATTTTAATAAAAATGTCAGGGAAAATACACAGTACGTGTTTTCATATTTTAGACATATGCATATGCCAACCTTGCTGTGGTTGGATTCTACACGTACATTGCATGTACTAGAAGTCGTCAACGGGCCATATTAGCTGCAGGGTATCTTGCACGTTCATCTCGGCGCTATAAGATTTAGTTCAGCTTTTCTGTTCGGTGTAAGCATAAAAAACATTATATAAATGCATTTAGTTAAATATACCACCTTTAATTTTCAATTGCTGCATATAATCGACGAGCGAAAACGCCATATATTATTTGGCGATTAAAATTTTAATTTTGCACCGTACTTGATTTTTCAGATACTCAGTAGCAAATAAACTAAAGTAAAAAAACTCTTTGGTGATAGTAAGAAATATAATATATTCTTTGCAATTTTTTTCTTGTTACGAAATGACTCAGTAAAAAGAATTCATATTCTCTAGCCAATTTTTTTTATTGCCCCGCTGACATATAGCTTATCCTCTATGGTTTTCCGTCTCTTAAAAGCAAGGCATTTTAAAATGAAAAAAAATATTGTGTTCATTTATGAAAGGTACAGTGATTGAATGATACAAACTAATTTAAAATATTTTCGTTTTATTTTCAGATATTCGATCTGTAGCTGTTGCTTTGGGGAAAAACATTTTACATCAATATATGACTTTTTTAGAATTTAGAACAATTGTTTAAGCAGCTATTTAGATTTCAATGAAATTATGTGTGTAAAACCATATTTGATAAATAAATTCATATGATATTATATTTATATTATCGTGTACCCTTCTTCAAGATAAAAAAGGTCATTCATAGGAAAAATATTTAGAATAAATATTGTTTTACGAGTTAATTAAGTCCTCTTGAATGTACAACACAATTAAAGGTTGATCATTAATGCACTTTCGATTGAAAGGATTTGTAATGGTGTAGTTTTTTTTCCTTTCATTTGAAATGTAATGTGGATAAACAATGTTTTTTATGTATAGTTGTTTATTTAATTATATGCAGAGTTTCAGCTAAAAACAATTCGAATTGCATATACCCCGGTGGTATAAACATGACTTAATTTAAATGCAAGATGCTAGTGTTTGAAAAAAATTGAATCTTTTCAAAGATGGGTTGGTTGGTTCAGGTAAATTACATAATTAACATTTTTGAAGTCGTCATTTTAAAAGCTAATGTAAAAGGTTTTTCCCTATAAATGGAAAATAAATGTAAAACGTGATGATTTCATAAAAGTTCGTTCGGCTTGCAAATTAGTAAAGTTGACAGAGAAAAAAAGTTAGAAAATCAAATTAGTATCCTTCTCTACGATACCAGATATTAACAGAGCAAATTAGATCCTTTAGAAAATTTCTTTTAATTGTAAAAAGTAAAATGAATTATATGGAGATTACGAACAGTATTCAAGCTCCAAAGTCCATAAAATAATACAAAAAAGGAGCAGAACAGTTAAACACGGACCCCCCAAAACATCAGAAGTGGGATCAAATACCCTGGAGGAGTGAGCCCCCTGAGCCGACGGGTCACATCCGCTCCTTTTCATGATTGGGAAATAACGGGAAAATGCGTCGACAATTCAGTGTGCAAGTAATGGACTAACAACTAGTATGAAAAATGTCAGTCAGCATTAAATCAATGATAAATTATATTTGCTGTCAAAGTTATTATATCGACCCTAGAAATGATGACTTTAAACAAGACTGTTGATATAATTGTTTCATCAACTTGTTTGTCAATTATTTACCTCGTTTTAGAAATTAAAGATCATTTTGGAGACCCTTTTTGTATGTTGTCATTTTTACTATAAAACTTTTCTTTAAAAAAGATTTTTACACCTGGTCGTCGATGGGCTTATTTCTGTTTAGTTCAACTTTGCTGCTACATGTACATTAGGAATTTGTCTAACAATTCACAATTTTTGATTTTTTTGATTCTTTTAGTTGATTTCCATTCTCTTGAGGTTTTCTAATATTACATCTGCAAAAACTTATAGACTTCTTATTTGAAAAATAAAAATATGCTACCTTGATTTTTTACTTTAATTTTTAACTCCCGATCATTTGGGATCTCAATGACATAAAGTAAGTAATGGTATAAATTCCATTGCAGCAAGACGGTCTTTAAGAAATCAAATTTACATACCATACATGTACATGCATTTGAATTTGTATTATTGATACTGAACGTTTAACTTTAATAGCGAAAAGTTTTTGCAGCCATGTGGTGTTTCGATTAAAAATTTCAAGGTAAAAGCTGTAAGACTTTTACATCTATTATCCATAAACAGGGTGTTACTAACAGACAGACAGACAGCTATGCAATCCGACAGAGATAAAGATATAAACTGTTAGACCGACATTTACACAGGCATGCGTGAAAAATGCCTAATTGATATTGCCAATCTTTAGCGACGGCAGGGTGCAATGACAAAGAACATTTTAAAAGAATCTTACCACCAAGAATGACTTTTCCAAAATGACCATATGAAATAAAATAAAATTCATTTTGTTTTCTAAATTTTATTACAACAGATAAATGTACAAATAAAAGATGAAATAAAATGAAAATAAACATTGAAAAATATAAAAAAAAAAACACATATCTAGTGTCGTAATAATATGTTAAATATTACCAGGGCATTGCACTTTGATATAATTTTGATCCACTCTGACGATAAATTTGAAATCAATGCATTCCTAATTATTGCATACAATTAAAAAGATTAACAAAGAACGTCTATGTTATTAAACTGAGATATAAAACAAAGAATTTTATTCAATGTCTATAGTAGCCGCCAGCGGCTTCGTGAACTTGCAAATTACAAAATACTATTCTTATCCTGCATCATCATTTCTTATTCATCAATAAAAATGTATATTACCATGAATTAATACAGAGAAATAAAAGTAGTATTTATTCTAAAAGATTGGGCCATCTTTAAAAAAATGGTTCGGTTTTTCTCTCCCAAGCGACTGACTAAAAATGGCCACACTCAAAACTTTTTTACAATCCACCCAGGACACAATATTTTTCTTTATATTCCTCTTCTCCAGTCCTCAAATATGTTGAAATTTTCTGGTAAAAAGATTTTCTCACCTACCCACCGACCCAATAATTTTACCCTGAGCGGGCAAGCAAACATTATATTAAAGATGGCCTTTACTAACCTTTTTTTAAAGTATGAGTTGAAAATTTCTTTTAATGAATTAAACACATTAAACCAAGCCATAGATTAATTAACATTCAAGATTGTCTTCAGCAGCACAATAAATAATTTAGAAATATGTATCTCATTGCTTATTGCATTAATGAGTTGTTCCAGAAAGATTCCTCATTTATCAACATTCGCACAGAAGCATCTCCACAACACACAACACAGGATGAGGGTACCGCCCACCGCCCCCACCCCGATAGCCAGTCCAATAAAGGCATCACTCTGTAGAAAAGGCTTGTCTTCCTGTGAACAGAATCAAACAGTCGGGTTTTTAATTTGGTAATAATTCTTTTCTTCACATTGAATTTCAAACTTCAAGAAACTTTCGTCAAATGTAATTTGAAATACTAACAGACTACGATATCTAAACTTGTCGAAAATTCATATCAAATATTCCTACAATAAAAGAAGATGGGTAAATAAGGCGGGCAGAATGCCTATAGTGCGACAGCTAAGAAGTGAAATTTTTAATCTTAATTAAATCCAAATTTTACTTGATATTTTATCTAATATTAAAGTATACTTTATGTAAGATATCTACAATTTACAAAAATCTCAAAAAGACTGAAAATATTTGTCTATGAAAAAGCTTACACACACTGAAAAGAACAAAGACGATCATTTTTTCATACTTAAACAAAATTTTTCAATATGGGTGGGTCTTCTCTCCATTTTTTGAAAGATGATCTTAAAAGTGTGCAATAAAATACACATTTTTTGGTTTTCAAAAACATGGAGCGAAGACCCACTATAACTTAAAAGTACACTTTTATGACACAATATTAGCATCTTTCCGAGAAATACTTCAAGTCCATTAAGTCGTGGGTCATATCACAAACATGAATTAAATGCCTAAGATCACCATGAGTGGTGTAGCATAGTGGTTAACGCATTAGTCTCAAAGCAGTATGCTATTGATACGTCGGATTTTTATTGCTAGGGTTCGAATCCTACGAATACCATCTAATAATTTTATGAAAGAATATTTTTTACGAGATTTTTTTCTCTCTCAGAAAAGTTTTTTTTCTCATAATTTCAAAAATTTCAATAATTAGAAGTTAATTGTTTATTAATAATCAATTCACATGAATTTGAACACACGGCGGGTGTATGATTTCTACATGGCACCTGATATCTGACTGCTCTTATTTTGTATTGTTTTATGGACTTTAAGATTGAATACTGTTCGTTATCTCCATATATTTCTTAATATCTGACGCTATAGGCATTCTGCCCGCCTTGTTCGCCCATCTTCTTTGAACAAGAATTACCTAGTACTCCACTGAACCTGTCCACATTGATCTGAACTCTGAATTATTTTGATATTTATTATCGATTGGAAATATAGTCATATTTTATTGATACCTAATTTATTTTTTCCATGTTCATTATTTAATTAACCATCACATTTTTTTTTCATATTGCATCCTCTTTATTAAATTGATATGTAATCAAAGTATTCGCAAATTAATTTTCTGTTTCATCACGAAATGTGGAATAAGTGACGTGCATCCTTCTTTTCCAGTCATAGGATTCATTGAGTCTTGATCATTTGGTAATCTTAGAGGATCAATACTTATATTTATTGATGTTATCTATTCTCTGATATTTTTATTGGTAAATATATATCTTAATGTATGTGTTGATTAAAGTTGAAATGAAGAGTCATTGAACCAAAGCATTCTGATAAAAATGTCTTACCGGTGGAGCTGCAGTGTTATTTGTAGCCTCCGCTGCAAAAAAGAAGTAAAATGAACATAAGATAATTGAATAAGACAAATTCAACATAGCGTAACAACTAAAACACCGGGAATATGTAATTGGAATATCAGGAGTTTTTTTTAGGTTATGACTACTTTAGTCGCATTTGAACAGAAACTAGTCTTAATAGTTTGGCTTATAATAAAGTGCCCCGGTCATGCAGCATATTTCCTAAGATGCAGAAGCTATAGGTAGGTATGTTATACCACATGATTTATCATTAATTTTACAGTGACTATAAGAGCATTTGGGTCGCCCGGGTGGCGCATTGGTTAGAGCGTCTGCTCTACGGTAAGGAGATTATGGGATGTGGAGACCGGTCCTTTGGATGATTTGAACATATTTTATTGATTATACTATACAAATGGGATTGGGCAAAAGTTCTAAAAACTTATTACGCCCTTTCCCTACATCCTTTGGATGATACAGTATAAGCTGAGGTATTTGACTCAGCGATAAAGTGTAAGGTCATTGCTTCGACCATAGAACTTAGGAAATGATAACTTTAAAAGAGACTGCTGATATTCTTGTTTCATCAACTTGTTTGTCAATAATTTACCTCGTTTTAGAAATTGTATATACGTAGAGCAATGTTCTAATTAACTGAGAGAAATAAACTCAGTAAGCAGGTGTTGAAGGTATATTTTTGCATAGTTAATGAAAGTGGACGATAGAAAAGTTAAAGTCATCCCATTTATCATAGGGCTTGGTTGTTAGATTACCATTAACGTCTTTTTCAATTAAAATATCCAAATATGAAACACATGTGTCAGAATCTGCGGTTTCTTTTT